TCTGATTTATATGTTTTGGGGATCTTTCACTGGATGCATAGATATTTATTATGGCTATGTTCTCTTGTTCTATCGATTCTTTGATCATTATATAATGTTCTTCCTTGTCTCTTACGGTAGTTTTTGTCTGAAAGTCAATTTGATCAGAAATTAATATCATCACTTCTGCTCTTTTATGGTTGCTGTTTGCTTGATTTATCTTTTTCCCACCTTTCATTTTTAGTCTATTTTTGTTGTCATCTCTAAGGTGTGTCTTTTGTAGACACATTTTGATGGGTTATGTTTCTTTATCCAGTCTTCAACTCTCCGTCTCTTGAGTGGTACATTTAATCCATTGACATTAATTATTGACTAGTATGAACTGGTTGCTGTCATTTTGTTATGTGTTTTTTTGTGGTGTTACTTACTGATTTCTTTGTTTCATACAATTTTCTGTGCTGAACTTGTTTTGTTTATGAATCATATTATCACTTTCTTCATTACTATGTTTTGGCATTTGCTAAATATTTGTGCTTGTCCTCCTTTTTATTTTGATGTGATGGTTTATCATTTTTCTGTGAGGTTACCCTGTGATTTATAAGTTTCTTCCCAAGTTTAGAACAGTTTGTTCTATCATGCAATTGTCTTGAGTTCCTGCCCATTTAGAAATTCTGTAACTACACATTTTTTCCCTCTTTTTGGTTTGTACTTGTCCTCTTTTGCCAATTGATGTCTCTGGTTCCCCATTTAAAATGTTATAGGCTTATTTACTTTGGATACTTCCATAACTGAGTTGGTTTCTGGGTTATGTCATCATTTGTTTTAATGGTCAGTTGTTGTTTGCTGTTGTTGATTCTCTGTCCAAAGGACTCCCATTCGCATCTCGTGAGGTTGGTCTGGTTTTAACAAATCCCCTTCATTTCTCCTATCTTCCTAATTTCCTCATCATAGGTGAGGGACAACTTTGTAGGTTATATAATTCTTGGTTGGAAGTTTTCTTCTTTCAGGGTTTTATATGTACCATCCCATTGCCTTCTCATCTGTGTGGTTTCTGCTGAGAAATCAGAACTTAGTCTTATTGGTTGCCCTTTGTAGGTAGCTTTTTGTTTTTCCCCTGCTACTTTCAGGATTCTTTTTTTCTTTGGTTTTGGTGAGTTTAATGATGGTATGTCTTGGTGATTTTCTTTTGGGTTCTATCCTGTTTGGGGTTTACTGGACTTCTTAAATGGATATATTCTCATCTTTCCCCATATCAGGGAATTTCTCTTCCTACAAATCTTTGACAATTTCCTGTTTGGTTTTATTTCTCTCTTCCTTTTCTGGAATTCCTATTACATGAGGTTATTCCTCTTGACGGTATCCCACATGAACCTTCAGCTTTCTTCATTTTGTTTTGATCATTTTTCTGACTGATCCCTTTCCACGGAAGTATTAAAAGTATCTGTCTTCATCCTCACTAATTCTGTCTTCCATTCATCCACTTCTACTCCTTTGCCCATTCAATATGTTATCTCTTCCTGAAAATTCAGTATTAATCTTCTGGATTTCTATCTGTAGATTTTGTATAATTTATAATTTTTCATTTATTTTGTCATTTTGTTCTTTTACCATCTTCTAAAATTGCTCTAGAGTTTTGTCTGTGTTTTCCTCAATTTTGTCAGTGCTTTCCTTGATCTGTCTCTCAACCTGTTGAAGGTACCTAAACATAGTTGTTTTGAATTCCTTATCAGGGAGTTCCAATGCTGCCTCTTCCACGGTGATGTGTTCTGGGTCTGTATTCTTGTCCCTTATTTCTACTCCTTGATCTTACTTCTTTGTGTGGACTGTGATGGTCTGTTGTCTCTGAGACACTGTGATATTTTTGTATTTATATTTAACTGGTGATTGTGTGTTGGAATGATTCACTGAAGATTTTCATTTTCTTTGTTTTGTTTGGATGTATCTGAGTAAACAGGGTACTGTATTCCTCTATTTGCTAATTGGAAGCACTTATGCACTCACCACCTGTCTCCTTCCCAGTTGTCAGCCTCTCGTATGTCCATGCTGTCCTTGGCAAGAGGAGCCTATTCTTAGGTTCCTGGAATCTGAATGAGAATGCTGTCACTTTAAACATCCAAAATGGCTGCTGCTAGTAAACATTAAAAATGGCTGCACCCTCTGGACAGCTGAAAGTCCAATGTTCAGTGTGTCTCCTACTTTGAAGTTTCCCTTTTTAGTCATCAGCCACCAGCACAGTCGTCCCTGTAGCCATTGGCAAGCAGGGCCAATTTTGGGGTTAATTCTTAGGTCCTAACAGCACTTGGAAATATTCAAAGTGTCCCTGACATCAGGATAACTAACAGTCTGCAGCTCCATTTGTCTCCTTATTCACTGTTTTAATTCAGGTTATTCTACTAGTTGGTGTTTAATCCACTTCTGTATCCTTCCTTTCAAAGCTCAGGGTTCCAGGATTATCATCCTTATCTGTGTCAATTGTTTTTTCTTTGTTGAAGAGGGTCTGTCTAGCTTGTCTGCCTATTCTGCCATCTTACCAGAAGTCCCTGGCTGTACTTCTTCCAAGACAGATTTGTTCATGCTTCTGAACATCCATGGCATATTCAGTATTCTTCCCCAAGACCATAATTCAAAGATATTGGTTTTTCAATCTTCCTTATTCATCGTCAAGTTTTTCCATGCATATGAGGTGACAGAAAACACTAAGGTCAGGTAGACCTCAGTCCTCACGTGACATCTTTGTTTTTAATACTTTAAAGAGGTCTTTTGCAGATTTTCCCAATACAGTTTGTTGTTAATATATCTATATATACTAATACAGTACAATCAGTTGAGAAGTATAATTAATTCCAAACTGGTGCTGACTATATTCAAGACTGTATGTTACATTTGTAAAGTAATATGCTCAGTGCTCTCTACTGATAACAAAGTCTCAGATATGCTAATACTACCACAGTTTGTCATCTAGATTCATAATGAAGGAATGTATACTTTCAGTTAGTGGGTAGTCAATATACACAATTTCCCATCCAAGTTCACAGATACCCTTGACCAGAGGATAAGAACTACTGTTTTACATTCAAAGAACCTGCAGTTTTTGCAAATGCTTAAAAGCTTGGCTCTTAACCAACAGTTTGGCAGTTCAAATCCATCCAGAGGGCCCTCAAAAGTATGGCATGGAAATATGTCATTTGATTTCTTTACTGATGATTCCATGGATACTGACTGTGGATCCAAGTAAAAGGAAATCCTTGACACTTCAATCTTTTCTCCCTTTATCATGTTGTTGTTTTGGTCCAGTTGTGAGGAATTTTCTTTGATCTTCATCAATAAGTGCTTCAAGTCCTTGTCACTGTTAACAAGCAAGGTTATGTCACCTGCATATCACAGGTGGTTAATGACTCTTCCTGCAATTGTGATGCCACATTCTCCTTTATATAGTCCAGCTTCTCAGATTATTTGCTCAGTATACAGATTCATTAAGTTTTATGAAAGGATACAACCCTGACACACACCTTTCTCCTGATTTTAAGCCATGAAGTATCCCCTTATTCTGTTCAAACAACTGCCTCTTGTTCTATGTACAGGTTCCTCATGAGCACAATGAAGTGTTCTGGAATTCTCATTCTTCAAAATGTTATCCAGTTTGTTTTGATGTATACAGATGAATACATTTGTATAGTCAAAAAAACAAAGGTAAACAACTTTTTATTATTGTCTACTTTCAGACAAGATCTATCTGACATTAGCAATGATATCCTCCTTCCACATCTTTTTCTGAATCCTGCTTGAATTTCTTGCATTTCTCTATTTATGCACTGCTGCAACCATTTATTTTCAGCAAAGTTTTACTTGTGTGTGATATTAATAATATTATTTTATAATGTCTGCATTCTACTGGATAACCTTTCTTTGGAATGGGCACAAATACAAATCTTAAGAAAAAATATGCATAGTTTTTCATTGGCCTGTCATAAAAAGAAAGGTAAATACTGATTATGTTTCTTATTAATACAGGTAGAATGGATTGAACAGTGATCCAGCTGAGACATCTGCCACCTACTTTTTTGCCAGGGCAAATTCGTTTAATACAGAATGCCAGTTTAGGATTTTCCTTCCACTCTTTCCCACTTCACAGGTGTCCCTTCTGAAACAGTGTATCATAGTTAAGTTTTAAACTAAATTTGTATTTTATCATAAAAGAGATAGCCATTATCTATCATTTATTGTATTCCTGTTTTTTGCTAGATACTGTGTGAAATAGTGTATACAGACTCTCATTTAATCTTTACAGTCAACTGTGTAAAAAATATATGGTGATACATCTTTTAAAATAAGTTAGAATGAGCCTCTTTGGACTCTCAGAATAACATTCTTAACTCGGATATTGATATATCAATTATAAATGACTAAAATAAGATTTTAGATTACTTGAATATTAATTCCAACTTCCTTCATTAAATATTAAATTAGTCTCACTCTGAAATACCTAAATCAGATGTGAAAGTCAATTCATACCTGAGTTCTTATCCTATTCTGAAAGAAGAACGAACATGTTTCAAAATGGACAGAAGAAAAGACAGGTGAAAAGTAAATCATATGGGAAACTGATTCCAAAGCCAAACTCACTGTCATCGAGTTGATTCTGACTCATAGCAACCCATTTTGGGTTTCCAAGGTGGTAAATCTTTACGGAAGTAGATTGCTCCATCTTCTTTCCAAGAAACGGCTGGTAGGTTTGAACCACCAACCTATGGTTAGCAATCAAATGCCTTAGGCACTATGCCGCCAGAGCTCCTTGGAAAACTGATTAAACTGGTAGTATTTATTTCCCATTTGTAAGAAATTTGTATGGAAATAACTGCTTTTAAAAATGGTACTTTTTTGCCTATGTGGCTTTTTTCCTAAATGTTTTTCAGCACTCACCAGAAGGATGCTAATAAATGTTGCAAAAAAATATAAATGACAATGTTGAAAATATAATCTTTCTTTCACAATACCAAGAAATATCACAGCGTAGTACTTACCTCCCTTGCACTCTTAATTTTAGTCAAAAAGGTATGCAGCTCCATTGTTTCTGCAAATAGTGCCCGACATACTGCCTGATAATGATTTGGTGCCTCTGATTCAGTTGGGAGATGAGCAGCACACAACTACAAAAGAGAAAATTAAAATAATAGTGCTTATCTGAGATTTTGAGTTTTTGGTACCTTAAAAATTAACACACTCATTACATCCACATTTTCGTATCAGAGAGTAAGGCAATTCTCATTGCCAAAGGCTTAACACATCATAAGACCATCAGTAGCACCTATACAATTATATGAGAAAAGTCATTTACTAACAAAACATCAATACCACAAGTAACCTAACTGGAATTAGCTAATATTTTTAAATTATAGATGTCGAAGATGTAGGAATAGGAAGACAAGCAACACAGACCCTCTTCAACAAAGAAAAGAAAAACCAGTTGACAGAGATACAGAAGATAATCCTGGAATACTGAGCTTTGAAAGGAACTATACAGAAGTGGATTAGGCACCAACTAATGGAAAAACCTGAATGAAAACAGTGAGTACAGAGACGGTTGGAGCTGTGGACTATGAGCTACTCTAATGAGACCTGAACCTGTCCAAGTGGTGCTGGGACCTGGGAATTGACCTAAAGATCAGTCCCGGTCACAGAGGACTGCAGGGATAACTCCTCTGGTGGCCTATGACTAGGAAGGGAAACAGCCAAGAGGGAGACAACCTGAGCTGTGGACTTTCTGCTGCCCAGAGGGTGGAGCCATTTTGATTGTTTACACGTGGCAGCCATTTGGGATATTTAGTGGCAACCATTTTGGATTTTAAAGTGATAGCATTCTAATTCGGATTCCAGGGACCTAAGAACAGGCTCTGTTTGCCGGGGTTGGCAAGGACATACGAGAGGCTGACAAAGGAAAGGAGACAGGTGGTAAGTGTATAAGTGCTGTCAACTAGTGAATAGAGGAGCACAGCACAGTGCCCTGCCTGTATATATAAAATACAAACAAAACAAAGAAAATGAAAATTGTGGGCAAGTCACTCCCAACATATAATCACCAATTAAATATAAACACAAAAATGTCACAATGTCTCGGAGACAACAGAGCATCACAGTCTACACAAAGAATCAAGACAAAAAGCAGGAGAAACAAGGGACCAGGATACAGACTCAAAACACATCCTTGAGGAAGAAGAAGCATTGGAACTCCCTGATAAGGAATTCAAAATAATTATATTTAGGTATCTTCAAAGGACTGAGAGACAGACTAAGGAAAACACAAGACAATACCCTAGAAGAATTTTGGAAGAAAATACAAGAAGAAAATGACAAAATACATGAAAAATTAGAAATGATTCTAAATCCACAAACATAAATGCAGAAGATTAATATTAAATTGTCAGAAATAAATAACACATTGAAAGGGCAAAGGAATAGAATTGATGCAATGGAAGACAGAATTCATGAGATTAAAAACAAATATCTGAATACTTCTTTGGAAAGGGATCAATCAGAAAAAAGATCAAAACAAAATGAAGAAAGCCTAAGATTCATGTGGGATACCATCAAAAGGAATAACCTACGTGTCACCGGAGTTTCAGAACAGAAAGAGAAAAATAAAACCACTGAGAAAATTGTCCAAGATTTGTTAGAGGAGAACTTCCCTCATAAGATGAAAGATGGGAATATATCTATTCAGGAAGTCCAACGAACCCCAAACAGGATAGACCCTAAAAGAAAAACACCAAGACATATCATCAACAAACTCACCAAAACCAAAGTCAAAGGAAGAATCATGAGAGCAGCATGGGAAAAACGAAAAGTTAGAGGCGGGGCAAGATGGCGGACTAGGCAGAAGGATTGCACAGACCCTCTTCAACAAAGAAAAGGGAAACCAATTAACACAGACA